GATTATTTTATAATTCTAACCGCGTTAAACAGTGTACATATAATATATCCCATTCAGTCAATCGATGGCGAGGACGATTAAATATCATATGTATGTACCATAATATTCTAGGACGTTCATATCTTTATAACAATAAAAGAAGTGTTTGATTCTAAGTAACGTAAACAACCCAAAACGTAGTAAATTTGTAAATATCTATTATAGACCACGTCTCCTAGTGACCACGGCTTCTGCAAAGCATCCGAAACGTCGGTAGGTACAATAATATTCAAATAAGTCTTTCTTCTATACATCGCGTTTTAAACCGTTAAAAATTTTTATTTAAAAGTTTACAACAAGTTTAATATTTATTTCCAAAGCTAAATAACCTAATATCTTTTAACGAACACACTAACCATATGTAAGTGCATTATACATATATACTCATTACCTTTTAAATATAGTTGAGAGAATAGAAATTCTGAAAATAGCGGCACGAGGGCGATCACTCGCCGTCTATATCGTAAACTAATGAAGCTATTTTAGTGTACAACCGCTTCATCTGGACCATTTCCTAAAACTATTTCGATATTGTTAATTCTTGGGAAACGTACCTTTGAATGACGTATAGAGATGCAATACAGCAAATCAAATAATAAAAACACATGCGAAAACAACGACAAGAAGATCGATCACTCTTTGATCGCTCTTCTTTTCTTCAGATGCTGCCGTCCACTCGAGATTGTGACCCAGCTTAAAAGTCCAAATAGCCAAGGCATGAAATATTCTTCTGACGATGGACGGTTGCACCGAATGATTCCTACGCTGTCAAAGAGACAATACAAAACGGATATTAACTAAGCTTAACAGTAATATCGCTTAAACATCAGGGTCATATTTTTTACTATAGGAAATAAGTACGTGAGGAAGTGGGCTTAGAATAGCAAAGAGTGTTGAAGTTTGGACATCATAGTAAACTACTGGAGATGCGTGAAAGACAAATGTTATCTTTGCCAGCGAAATAAGAAAAGCTGATATCTTATATATTAAAGGTGTATACGAAACACGATAATACATATTAACTAACTACAGACGTAATATCGTAGGGTATCGATTATACATTTTAAAATTCAAATCGATACTGCATATATCTTGTTTTGAACGGTTAAAGAATCTCATTTATGTTCAGTTTTTCTATATTGTCACGTAGAGCTACATAGCTTTAAAACCTTAACTACTTCAAATCATTTCGCTAACGAAGTTGTGTTAAAATTCACGCACGCTACCAATTGATTTCTTTGAACAATTACTATTTGTTTACAAGCCATTCAAAACGGCCGGCAAGATAATTCCTTTGTGAACAAAAAGTAAAATACGTCCGGAGTGTTGTTGAAACAAGTTAATTAGTCGGTCCGTAGTGTCACAATAACCCATCGGCGACGCCCGCTGTTAAGGGCTGATTGTTAGATTTATCTGCGTGCAAAACACAGTTTAAACCCGCCAAGGAGGTGATGAAAACGAAGTTTCACTTAGGCTCATTATGCTACATAAGACATCGTAAGACAGATGACAGCTTACTTTCATTTTATCGATGAGAACAGAGAAGCATGAGGTATATGATAACGCAACACTGTTGTAAATATATTACTAATTAAACTAAACTAAAGGGACCGAGATTAAATAGATAATATAAAATAACGAACAAGATTTTTTTCACAGTAGGTGTTATTTATTTAGTTACGTTATTACTTAGTGACACTTAAGAGTATTAACTCAGCCATAGCCTATACGAGTTAAAATTCTTTTGTGATAAAATTATATAAAACGGTATTACTAAACAAAAATACCAGGAAGCGTTGTATATAAAAGCGAATAAATTAATTTGAAAGTTTCACAAGTCGCGCCTGCTCCGTTGAAGACAGTTAATATTAAACAGCGCGGCTTCTTTAGCAATATCATCAAAGAGTTAATGTTTGCGGAGTAATGCGATAAATAAATTTTAATTACGAAGTACGAACTACGGCTGTGGCTACCGGAAAAACGAGAGCTAAATAGGGCAGAGAAATGGGAAGCAACCTAATTGTAAATTAAAAAGTTCGCGGAGTTACGACACCACAGTCCACAATGACACCCCAACGGCTGAAGGGAGGTGACATCACCCTCGCCCGACCCCCTCGCGCAGACGAGAAAGTGGGGGTGTAGACACCCGTGGAAAGCGTGTGACATTTTGTTTTAAAATATTGTCCGCACGAATACCTTCACGTGGGTCATATTTAATCGTGCGCTTTCTCTTTTTTCGCACAAATTTTGTTGAGACAATATATTTGTCACGTCCGATACAACACTTTCGCGATTGATTAAAAAACTCACTAGACGACTCCAAATGATGATCTCACGCGATCGGGGCTTAATTAGCGGCGCAAGCGCATGGGGCGTGAAAGCTCAGTAAAAATGAACATTACCCTATCATTAGACCGCAGAGCAGGCGAGTTCAGAGCTTCGCAGTTGGGATTCTGGTAACTCGAAGTTCATAGACGAGGAAGTCACTTGAGGTGGGGTCGTTTAGGTAAGCGCACCAAATTTTGTGGTGTCAAGGCCGCCAGCTTTCCTCCTACATTCCGTTCCCGCCCACTGGGATATCTCACGCACGGAACATTTCGACGAAGATTCACTTACGATTGAGATAATTCACCTGTTTCCTATTCGAATCTGTAACTGCTTAAAGGTTATTTGTTTTTCGACTTAATAGTGGATTTTGATTATCGATCACTTGGTTGAAATGTCAACCGAATTGACGTCTGATCTGGTTTTTATCTAAGGTATTTATTTTGCGATTTAGGTTATAGGATTTGAGTAAATGCGGTCGTAATGAGGAAGTGTGTTTAATGTCAAGGTTACATGATCTCGTTTGAAAAGTGAACTAGTGTTAGAATTTGATCGATACGACTCTCTTGTGGCCTGTGGTATGAATTTTAGAGCGAAACAAATAGGGAAATGGGTGGGAGCGGTTTTTTTTTCATAAAAGCCATTCTGTACATGAGTTTCATTTCAAACAATTCCATTTAAAATCCGAATTGTCCTGTCGGGATATCAAGCGTACCTATAAATAAAAGAGACGCATTCACCTCTAACGGGATTTCAGTCGATTGGCACTTTTCACGCTGCGCTGTACGATTCATGGAAAACCATTTTTTCTTTGTTGCTGTTGACGTAACGGGATTTAATTAAACGATATCTGTCGGTAGTTTTTAGAAACTCTATTATTGTTCCCATCATAAAGTTCATAAGTAAGATCTAAGATTTGATTACATGGAAGTTTCGACGTGTACCTTAAGTTATTTTCGTGCAAAATTTCCTTTTGTAAAATAACATTGGTCTCAGTCTCTTATTTTCGTCGCATAAAACAGCCAATTAAAATTTAATAAATCGAGACGCATTTGGTATAATCTGTAATTTATAAATGTTTCATAGATAGAAGAGCATTCGATTATAATTCGAGATTCATAGCAGCGGCTTATTTCTCATAAAAAGTTGTTCCCTTCAAATGTAGTAATTTCGCAGGCAGGGTGGGTCCCCCCTCCCGCCGCCCACGCCCGGGATGGCCTTTTAGCGCCCGGGATATTGTCTCTTTAGTTAGATCTGTGTTTACTATAAGATTTTGAGAGAATCAAAACTCTCTATGTAAATGTTTTAGTCGGGTGCTAAGTTTTAGGGTTTACTTTTAAAAGATTTTCATGTTGTTTTCAAACTTTGAAACAACATTTAACTTAATTAACGAACTTGTGTTCACATATTTACAAATAAGTTTTAAACATTATTAAAAACAAAACATATTCTTTAGATCCTATGAATATTTATATTTACACAATTATTAAAAGGTCCAATATTTATCCATCTATGCCCTCTAGCGCGTGTATGACAGACTACCTGTTTCCTTAATTAAACTTTTTATCGCCTTCGCACAATAAATCCTAGATAATGACGCCTCGTATTCTAATAATGTTAATGAGGAAATCGATAAATCAACACTGAATTAAGTCATAACTTACACCTCGGTATTAACTTTTAAAATCTGGCCCGAGGCTTGTAATACGTTATTGATATTTGTGAACTGGATAATAATATTTGTATACCGATTTCTATTTTATCTTGACCTCCCCCGGCCCCTCTAATGTAAGCGTTTAAAGCTCATAAGGGGTGTTTGTGACGCTTATAGGGCTCTTGTAAATTGGTCGTGTATACTATCCACAATGGTTGAGGTAGGGTCCTGTCACAATGAGCCCCGGCGCGTAATTGTTAAACTGAACGGGGGTTGAACGCCTTGTCAACTGTTCCGTCATCGGTTGAGCAGAAAAAACGCGCCGTCTGCTAATTACGTATTTAAACAATGGAGAACTTAACGATAATTTTAGCATTTGTGTTAACCCTTTAGAATCGACGTTTATTCCGATATCAAATTTGAAAGCCCTAAACATAACTGACAGAGAGGCATTCTAATATCTAAATGGCATTATATAATTGTAGTTTATCTATCTATTGCTAGGATTATTTGGCTAAGATTCTAATATGAATGGCGTCTCCCTCTAATAGATCTTCACGTTTTCTATGTATGAGCCGAAGGAATTTACCGATAGTCGATACGTAATCTTGACGTCACTAGTTAATCGCGATGCCCACGCTCAGCGGCGCTAAGTCCATTCACGGTGTCGATTACTCTAACAAAAACACACGTACTTAACACACAAGTATAGTAGTGCTATAAAAAAATCTCACTACGAGAAACGTAAATCCTAATACGTAATTAAGTTTTCAAATTAAAACAATTACTAGCGACCTCTATTTGTATGTTCAATAGCGTGAATGGATATAAGACCGATACCGATCACTAACTGCCGCTCCACAATGCTCCTCATCCCTTATTAATTATTTTATTGTAAGCATAAAGGATGCCGTAATCGTCAGAATAATAATATCATCGCACCGCATAAAGAACCCCAAGTAGCGACAACACAAGCGTAAAAATGACACGCCGTGCCACCAATATGTTTGTGTGTATTACATTAGATTTATTCGACTGGGTCACGCACACAGGCGCAAAGCTACCCCGAAGGGTGTTTGGGTGTGGGGGCGACACCACTACAGGGGCAAGCTGCCACCGCCCGACAGATGGCCACGCACACACACTCACCCCGGGAAAGGGAAAGCTACATTGTGTAAACAAATCGCGGGAGCGCGTGCTATCCCTCTCGACTACAAAGCCAGTGTGTGTCCCGCGACTGTGTGCTGTCGACACGACCGAGTAGATTGTTCTGTGAAATTGCCAGGTAATAGGCCGAGGGACTGTAGTATTATACGTACTTATTGGTTTCGCTTAGATGCTCAGCCGTCTAATCGAATTTAATATAGGCGTACATTGTAAGTAAATAACTCTAACTGAAGGGTTTGTGACACTTATACGTCAAGTACTCGTTATTTGGAATGCGTAACTTTTCAATTAACATAAAGAAGGTACTTTTAACATATTAGAGGAAGACAGACAAGCATCATATAACATCTAGATAAGATGCGCGATTTTGGGTTTGGAAAATCCACGGTACTATATTAGACCATCTCAAAAGAAAGTACCAAGCATTCTGTAATTACTTACTGTTTAAATATCCTTCTTGAAAACAGTCCTCTAATCAAAGTTAACTAACCGCAGATAAGATAAGAGAACTTAAACAATGCCTACTTTAAATGGAACGATGGAGATAACCTTGACTAGAAAAATATATGAGATAATTAATATGAAGTAAATATAACAGACACACAATAATGGCCTCTGCTTTAAGTGGCAGAATGTCACGGGCGCGGCTTGGGTGGATTGATCCGGTAAGTCAGTTTCATTTGACACACATGGCAATAAGAGAAGATGGTATGACGAAAACTAAATTAAAATAACTATAGACATCATTATTATAAAACCCTTCAACAGTTCCTATTGTTGAGATTGATTGATTTTCGTTGACTATTCTACCATGGTTCTGGCAAAATGCGTGCTAATAGATGATATTTATGCCAGAATGTTGATTGTGTTGTTATTATTAAAACGTAAGAAAGGATACATTTTTGTGTGCACGACTGGTGTCAAACTTCCGTCCCATAAAAGGAATACACTTCAAGAACAACAGGATTTATGTTTATTAAGGGCTATTGTTATGTTGTATTAAAAACTAATCATCGCTAAATACAAAAGTCAATTTAGATATACCTGGGTACAACATACCATATTTTACTGTGCCATATTTGAATACTACCCTTGAATAGAGTGCTACCAAACCGAACGCTAGTGACGTGCATGGGGAATTTTATCGATAACTTATCTGCAGCCTAGTTTCGTCAGTACTGATAACGCTTGGAACTGTTATTGTGGTGTAATTTCTATACCAGATATTTCAACGATTTGTGTAACATTGTTATTTTTACTTCACGCTTATTTTACAGAAGGAATTAGTTATGAACAGCACACATAATAAATAGAAGTACTGTACAAAGATATTTTCTTAAAAATAATAAAACTCTATTACAAAGACGTTTAAAAATTAAAATTAAACAAATAATTGTATGGAAAGAAAAAAAATACAGTTAAGGAGTAGAAGTCAATAATAAAAGAAAAGATATGCCTTTTATTAATTGTTGTTTAGATATCTAGTCTAATCCCTACAGAGTAATTCGTTGTACGGTCATACATATTAATATCTCTATTCCGTCTAGTGGCCTGAATCGGACATTTTCTATATGGAACGAACTTAATGTCCATTTAGGTAATTAATATTTTTCAAAATTATTATGTAAAATTAACTAAAAAAAGGCCAAATTTATTCAAAACAAGATAGTGTGTCCTGAAAGGTTTACACTATAGAAATTTGCGTAGAGCCGTTGGAGATAATCAAAGGGGACAAAGATCTGATAATCATAATCGAATCTTCGACGGATTTAAATGAGGCAATCAATCAGCGAGGCAGCGTTCGGTGACAGGAGCTTGCGAGAATAAACTGACAGCCATTGTGTTACATTTTAATCTCATGTTAAATGTAACTCTGCTGTTAATTTTCATACTGATTCATACCGTACTTTCTCTTCATAGAGATCATACAAAACTACTTCAAAAAAAAGAATAAAATAGTAACATACGAAAACGTGTAGTCCATTATATTGGTCTACTTAGGTAGCTGTGTTCCGTGGCCTTGAAATATATATAAACATTAAAATAAGAATCTGTTTAAATTAAAAAAAATATATGACACGGACGGGACTAGAACCCGTATCCACAACGTTCCGTGCTGCTGCTATAATCAATTAAGCGACCGTGTTCAAACCGTGCCCGTGTAGTTTTTTTTTATATCTCAATCTATACTAATATTATAAAGAGGAAAGATTTGTATTTTTGTATGTAATGGAAAAACTCAAAAAGTATTTGACCGATTTGAATAATTCTTTTTTCATTAGAAAGATACATTATCACTATATACTATATTATTTTAGTACTTGATTATTATAGGCATCTATAGAAATTCATACTAAAACCAATGGAAGACGTAAAAAAATAGCCGTAAAATGTCTTTCTTCGCATACGCTGCGAAAAGTATTAATGATAGGACAAAAAAATGTTCGACAAATTATTGTAGTTACGTCGCTATAACAACTTTTTTTCCTTTTACAAAATATTAAGAATGCCGATCAAAATCAGACCGTGTTATCTATACCGTTTACAAATTTTTATCTAAATAATTTAATATTCAAGACTATCTCAATAGCTAATGATTACTTTTTTTAATTATTGAAATCGGACATGCCATTCAAAAGTATCACGCCACGCCGCGCATCGAGTAACTAATTCGACGAGAGAGGGGACTCTAGGACTTCTAGACCTTATTGGGAACAATACACAAACAAGTAACTAGTACTAGTAGAATATAATTTACTATCTAATATATAAAATTCTCGTGTCACAGTTTTCGTTGCCATACTCCTCCGAAACGGATTGACCCATTTTGATGATTTTTTTTGGTGCTTATCCAGTATCTATGAGAACCGGCCAACATCTATCTCTCAACATAACATCTTTTCACCCCCCTAAATGTTGGGGGTAGTCCACCCCTAAAATTTTTATTTTATTTTTTAGATAAAATTTTTAATTTCTGTTTTTCTATGATACATACAACATACAAAAATACATACAGTCCTCAATTTTCACCCTTCTACGATCAATCTTAATGTTTAATAGCCATTTTAGTAAAATTATTTATATGGCAAAACAACGTTTGCCGGGTCAGCTAGTAATATCTAGTAAAATGTTTCTAAATTTTTAAATTAAAAACATATTAACTTATACGACCGACGTTTCACATGCTTTGCACTTATTGTCATGCGTTCCAGTTTTAAACCGTTAATAGGGCTTTACTTAATTGTAGGTACTACTGTAATTACTATAGACAATACAATTTTTTTTTTTTCTTGAAACCAAGATTTAGCAAAGATTTTGTAATCGTCTTTCCTCTGCCTTGCGAAGTAACAAAAAAATGTTTACGCCGATAATAATTACGTCACGATTATGACACAACACCAAAATGTTAACTTAAATCAGCGTAACGGATTACTAGAACCATAGTACACAGTTAAGGTCGTTGACCTCGCGACAAATGGGACTTGTTTAAAAACAAAAAAGAAATAGTTTTCAATGAATGGAATATTCACCTCCGCCCACGTTTTTGGGTGTCTATTTATATTTTTCCGTCTCTCCTGTAAATAGAGCGAGTGTCTTTTTATTTCAATGATAGAGATTAAGCATGATAGATAGATAAGCATTCGGTTCACTCGATGGAAGGCGAAATACCCAAGACATAACATCTTGATAAGATGTCGACCTTTTTCGGCTTTGGGTTTTAGGAAATCTACAGCCTGAAACCAAAACGCGGCTTTTTGGACGGGATTTTGATTTTTCACCATTCAATATCCAGATATCCAAAGTCCAACATTTTAGAAAAATTATAAAAATATGTGGAACCCGATGGAGATTAAACCCACGACCCGTTGGTTTTTCTTTCTAATGATGAAAGGAGGACAGACAAGCACGAGTGTCACTTGATTGGAAGGTGATATACCCGATATCGCATCTGAACAAGATGCGATACCGACCTATTTTCGCTTTGGGTATTCGGAAATCTACAGTCGGAACGTTTTCACCTGTGGAGTGTGGATCATGACCTGGACGGAATTTCGATATTCCTACCACCCATTTAACCAGATTTCCAGACGAAGTCCAGGATGTTGCAGAAAAATTATTCATGAATTAGAAACACTATGGATCCGTTGGGGATCGAATCCGCGGCCCGTTGATTTGCTACCACTAGACCAAAGAGTTGGCCCGTTGTTACAGTCATTAATACTCTGCCATTGAAACGGCGTGTCATATCTCAGAGAAAGTTGTTTGTATTTAAATTCCACTGTTGAATACGCGACTTAATAGATAAGATACATCCTTTCGTTTTAATGTTCACTTTTACTTTAAGAAACACTACGAATCTTTAAAGAACTATTTACTTCCTGTTGATATTTTGCATAAATATTTGCTATTGTAGAACCTAAATTATCTCTTGAATCCCTCTTCGATCACTTATAGTAAAGAAATTCACACACTAAAAAGGAAGTATTACAAATGTTTTTGTTCGTCTGCATTGTATCTTCGAAAGTATTCGAGTATTATTTTTATGATTTTCATAATAAAGGCGTTATATATGTGCTTAATAAAACAATTTAAAAAAAAGACTAAAAGTAGAAAATTACTTCAATTTTTTTAGATTACTCTCAGAATACACTTCAGTAAGTTAACATATTGTCAGATGTCACCATCTCTTACGAGTGAAGTCGCGAGCATAAGTAGTAAATTAAAATCCCTTGAAACTAAAGCTATTTTTGCGTTGTGCTTAAAAAATATAAGGAAGAAATACAAATTATCGTATCAAAGCAATATTCCGTTTCATACCTTTCACCTCGTTAAATATTTCTTTAGAGCGATTCAATCGGTATCAACGGCGATGTGATTCACTGATCTAAAGTCTGATAATATTCCTAGCTGCCTGTGTTACTCGCTTTAATGTAGACCAACTTTCAATACTCTTTTCACTTTAAGAGAAAATCTATTCGATATCAACAGATGTAGAGCGCTGCTGTTTGTAAATTGTTTACGAAATCGGAATTTTTATGCAGATCTATGTTAGGTATTGTTATAAGCGATTGATCTTAGATATCCCTCTCCTGGTCTTAAGTCTTCTCTAACTTACTAGCTATTTACAACAACCGACCGTTACAACAACGAACAGCTATGCACAACAGATTATCTTCATTTGAATAATTGCGTGTGTCCTAGTAAAAACTAAATAAGACGAACCGAGCTTAAATTTTATTCATTATATACACCTTATAAAATACCTTACTATTAAATATCAATTTTGTATTGAAAAATATATAATTGATATTTAATATATTGAAAAATTAACGACACATGACTTGAACCGGAAGCCACAGCGTTCCGTGCTGTTACTCTAACCAATTGAGCTACCTTGTCCTGCAAGAATTCGACGAATTCTTTTAACTTCACGAAGCTCTTGCGCAATGTATTTTCAACTTTTGAAGATGAAATTATAGAGTTTAACGTTTGAATCCTTTAATATTTTACACATGAGGGCATTACATAAGTTTCAAATTCGAATCACTTAACACACTTATATATAGATTAAAAAAAGTTTTTCAGTAATAGTGTTGAAGCAACGCTAAAGTTTGTAGTTACTTAATTGCGTTTAATTTTTCACGAATCCAAGTCGTATACAGAGAGACTTTGGTATATACACCTGGATAGCTAATGTTGGCACAACCTTCTCCCCAAGAGACGATGCCTATAAGAGTATTGCTGACAACAAGAGGTCCACCAGAATCACCCTGGCATGCGTCTTTCGGTGGGTTTCTTCCAGCAGCACATATCATTCCTTCTGTAATAGTACCAATGCTAGCATAGGCTTGAGCACATTCGTCGCGAGATACTATATCCACTACCGCTAATCGAAGATCAGACGCCTCGCCTTCATACTGGAACAATAAAAGTAACAGTAAAATATTAGTAAAAAATTAAATAGTATAATTAGTGACCAACAAAGCGAAAAAAAAAACTACATATAATATGACGTTTAAGAAATGGTTTTTCTTTCAATTAAAAGCAAGACAATGATAAAATTTAATAAACATTACCATCAATATGTACAATTTTAAGTGTTAAGAAATTAGTAAAGATTTCTCAAACTTGAGCGAGTAAAAATTACAACTTATTTTATTTTAAGATAGAGGCAGACGGACAAACATGAGGAGTACCTAATGTCATTTGCAATACGCCAACTAAAAAGCTACGACTTTTGGTTTTGAATATGGAGACTTTACCTTTTCCAACTGTGGACGGTGGTTCGATTTTCCTACTAACTATTTAATATCTAGATTGCCAGGCAACGACATACAGACACATTTCATAGAAAATATAAATTGATTAGAATCATGTTGGACTTAGGAATCAAACCGAGCCCTAGATTATAAGACCTACATTGCTACCATTACCCCCCGTCAACTCCCTGTTACTGCTTCAATAAAAGATTATATATAACCTTTGTGAGATCTTAGTATTATGCTTACATCGGTTTTTCCAAATCCAGAGACCACAGCCTTAGTTCCAGCTGGAATGCGCAGAAGAGAAGGAGCAATTTGTACCGGCATCACGCTTTCACTAAAGGTAATATGGTTTGTTACAACAACCAATGCAATATCGCTGTCGACCGTAGCTGAAGAATAATTCTCGTGGGAATATATTTGGGAGACAGAATAGGTTATGCCACCGGAACGCTGCGATGTACCCACGGCTACTTGAAGCTGCGATGGGTCGCGCTGGTAACTGAAAAGAAGACTGGAGATCAGGATTTGGGTGTGCTGTGATACTATTCTGGAACTGAATACCAAATTGTTGTACTAGCATGTTATTACTAGTTTATGGGCTTTTATTAGGATGTGAACCCTATACATTTTTGATTGGACTAAGTTAGTCTTTTGGACAGGGTGTAGTAGGGTAGAACTTATTTTTCTTAACGGAATAACTATAAGAACTTGTATAGTAAATAAAATAATTGTAAACAGGTTACAAGCTGAACTTTATTAGTAATTATTTTATTCCATATTAGCAGTAACAAACTATATTTTATAGGACTGTCTCTTAAGTTAGTCCTATAAAGAAATGGTTGCTGTTTAAGCTCTCAACCATTGTTGACAACCCAGAACTCTAATTTGATCAAAGCTTCCTTAAATAGGCGAAAACCCCTAATTTCGCTTAATTGAAGAACGCGCAACATCCCCTGATGATGTTACCCACACACGACCAAAGCGTCGAGAACATATTCTTCTTCTTCATTCTTCTTTACAGTATGGTCGCGAAAGCTTTATACAATTCTTAATTTGAACATTATTGAATTGAAATAATCATTCTTACCTAATTACGCAGTGAGCTGCTGAGACAACGCTTTTGCTGGTGACGAATACAGCACCACACGAATGCTTCCACCCGGCTGAAGTTTTTCGTCTCAGCGCAGCTTGATAGGGAATCTCTGAGATATCAACTAAATCTCCATTGACTATTCGTTCTACTACATAACTGTGTATAACTGGTATTGAAGTAAATAATGCTGAAACGGTAGAAGAATCTTATTGAAAACTTTAACAAAGAATAAACAAAATAAAATTAGGCGATACAATTTTCATAATTAAGTACTTAATATTTAATTTCTATAAGAGTACAGTCATAATACAAAGAAATGAATTCCGCTGTTTTATTCAGTAGGTATCTGTGTCTATTTTTTAAAATTACTTTATTTAGAAGCAAGTAGTCAATGATAGTTTTGTACCTGATTGTGCCCAATATAGTAAAAAATTATAATACAAACAAAAACAGCGAAAAAAAGATCTTATAAACTCAAAGACAACACAACAACAACAACCTCCTTTGTGAATACAATTTTCTTCTTTGTTACAAGATTTGAAGTAATAAAATAAATTTTACCACATAATAAAAGTTGTCCTAATATTCTCATCTTGAAAGATATAACTGACTGCTTGATCGACAATACAAATCGCGAAGTGATTAATCTTATCGACATCTCTGGTATCGTTATCAAACCTGCATTTTACGTACATCATCTCGGAAACATTAAATTGTCAAATTGAACTCTCATGTTGATAGAAGAAAAACCTAAAGTGTAATCTAAATTCTATTTCCTGTGGGATTTTCCTTTTGTAAATACCTAACTATAAGCATGTACAAGAGTAATATAGAGATAGTTACTTAGAAGGCATTGTTACAAGTGTGATTTTCTTATATCAAAGTAACCAGTATTTTGTAATGAAATTTAAATATACCCCAGAAATTTTCTATTATCTAAGAAGAAGACGGAAAAGCATGGGGTTCTCTTGATGGTGACATACCCCCGTCGTATATCATCTGAACACGATGGACTGTTTAGCTATTTTGGCTCTATGCTTTTAGAATATCATAGAATGTAAAATTCTTATCTGTGCTTCGTCTGAGTGTTCATTGGCTCCTGAAAAACTAACGGACATATTTTAATTAACGTACAAAATACACAAGTAATACACACTTATCAATTTTCTACTCTTACTGTACGTATCTTAAGATCTACACAAAATATATGCTATTTATCTCACTCGTGATCTGGCTACTTCGAACATTTTTACGCCTTGTAAAGTTAATTAAGACATTACATTTATTATTTCAAGTTAACGTTGAAAGCAAACATAAAGTAATATTACGCGCCACGCAATATAATTGAATTATTGCTCGCTTACTTTGCGTTCGTAAAAAGGTGCAAACTGTATTAACGAATTTAATGTTGTAAAATCATTGTGGTTCAAATTTTATTGGCTATCAATTCTCTGTCTCAACACTTTATTGACTTTATTTACATTATTTAATTAAATACCTAAATGTATCCATTTAACTTTTCTACGACGAAAATAATGTACCTACTGAAGTTACTTTTAAAATGAAGTAACATAATCTTGCGCAGTCAAAAAGGTAGCTGGCCAAAATATTAGTAGGTAGTAAGACATGGTTGTAAAAAAAAAACTATAACCATATGAATAGTCATAAAACGTCATCAATCATCAGTAATCAAACCTTCGTGTTCTAAATCACGAAATTTTTATATCGGGCTGAAACATTCTGAGTCCACTCCGCCGCCACGAGGCGTGGTAAAGTTATCACTACTTTAGTGGCGTTTTTTGTTATAGTCCACCGACCCACATTGAATTAGCGAGGTGGGATCTCTAAAAGTACGATGGTATGTCACTGTCATTATGGGTGGTGTTCTATTTAATCGTTAGGGTCCCAAATTTGAATCCCGAGAAAGCAAAATCTTTTCGGTTGCTCTGATCATAGCTCTCTGTCAAGAAAATCGATTACAGACAAAAAGTAAGCGGTCATCATGACTTCTATGTGTTGTATTAAGTGGCGCTAACTGGAACAAATGAAAACACTTTGAAACTGAGCTTCGTTAAGCTATTCTTTCAGTTTTATCACATTCAAACACCTCTGTATTTTCCCAGTCTTAGCCGCTTAATCTGTTACACCTAGCGCCATCTATTGTTCGAATGCAAATACGCGCCCACGCGTGTAAACTTCAGTGGTAACATTAACAATAAATGTATTGTTTAGGACTAATAGTCGAGTGTTTATTTTACATACAATTTTTCTCGGAACATATTACATAATGGTGAGCGCTTTATTGCACAATTAGTCGGTTGAAATTGTTTGTTATTCTGCCTAAGTGACCTACTGAAATAGTTTGTGGCGTAAATTCTTTTAATTTCTACCTTGGTCGGCTTAAAATCGGATTTAGGAAAAAGATATATTTTAGTGATTAACCGTTATATAAAAAGAATGTTCCCTTATACAGTTTTCCAAGTTTCGTTAAAACCAAGTTTAGGATTTACGAAAATTATTACAATTCATATTGATTATTGTATATATTACATAATATAAATACTTAAAATATATATATATATCCAAGAATACATGGTGTAAAACAAATACTGACGATGTGTTGATCAAAACGAAACGACATATTATTATGTATATAGAAACTCATTTAAGTAATACATTATATCTATTTTTTTAATGACTGAGAGTTAAGTAAAATATTTATTATAAAGACTATTTATAATATATATTTCTCATCTTTTATGACTTGGTAAGAATTACAACTTTAACACCCATATAATGACTAAGCAATAAAACTATTCTAGTATATTTGAGAGCGTTTAGACAGAGAGTAGATGATTATTGGAAGATAAGATAGCACTAGTTAAATCAATGGAAAGCCCGAGTTCATGGGAGTAGCGCCCACGTACACATTCCGAAGCCAAGGACCCCTCATTTCCTGGATCACACAACGAAATCATGCAATGTCCTTTATAAACAATGGGTTAGGTGGATTGCTTCTATAGGTCAGTGGTCTCCGTGACGCCTAGCATTGCATTAAGCTTAAGTGATCAAGGTTCAAAGCCCGGAAAAAAATAATTGATTGAAAAAGCATGTTTTAATAGGTCGATAAAAGTTGACAGGACACGTAGCGCAATTCGTTAGAGCAACAGCACGGAACGCTGTTGATGCCGGTTCAAGTCCTGGCAGTATGGTATGGTTTTTATTATAAAAACCGACCTTTAAAGTAAGTTTGATTGAATTATGTAGTAATACAGTTACCGGATGTAAAATATACGACTTACTAAGTAGACAGTGTGGCACTCTCATACAAAACCTGTATAAAACCAAGATTTTAAATCATAACCGATCATCAATCATTAGTTAAACACGTTTTAAACATTAATTTACAATTATTAACTACGCATGGAATTGCCTAACTACCATTTTTTCTTGTCACAATTTACAAAAAACTATTTACGTAATATTTCCGTCTTATGTTTGAAGTTTGATTTTCTTCACTATATTATATGATCTTTCCTTACAAGTTGAGCAACTCAATTGATTTAAAACGTATTAATTTCAACCGTCAAATAATGAAACGAATGCAATGTCCTTCACAGTTGAACGGATGAGGTGTGAAACTCGCAAACATATTGTTATTTTAAATACGTATTATGACTATCGTAATTCAAATGGTTATAGTTTTATTTAACGACCTTGTCTTATTACTAATATTTTTGCTAGCAACCTTTTTTGACTGCGCAAGATTATGTTTCTTCATTTTAAAAGTAACTGTAGTAGGTAGGTACTTTATTTGCGTTGCAGAAAAGTTAAATGGATACATTTAGGTGTTTAATTAAATTTTGTAAATAAGTTAAATATCATTGTATAAAAAATTTGTAAAAACGTATAATACCTTACAACAATTAGTTGTTGGTCATAAATATTTGGATCTCTCTTGCATGGGATTCAGTGATGGTAGGTGAGATACCGCAGCCTTCTCAAACTCCTCAGTTTTTTCATCTGTGGATGGTAGGTCGCGACCAGGACGGAATTACGACATTCCTACCACCAATTTAATATCCAGATTTCCAGACGAAGTTCATCATGTTTCAGAAAAATAACGGCGAAAATTTAAAAACGGACACAAAAATGTAAGGTAATTTAATTTATCATTTTGACATTGTATTCTTTAAAACAACAAGCAGGTACGTAATCCATTCTCTCATCTATTCGCCTACTTACAAATCACGGCATTTAGCCATTCGTACTCAGATGACACAGTTTACACGACCTTAACCGCTTATTACTTGACTAAACATGATGAACAATTTGATGAACACATATTCACACTTATAGTTTACGCGAGTGTACCATTTAAATAAAACACTTTAACGGTTTAAAACGGGAGTCCCCCCGCAACCCCGCCTCCCCCCCAAAGCATCCGAAACGTCGGGCCGAAGTTAAAAATCATTTTCAAATAAGTTTAACTAATATATCGCGTTTTAAACCGTTAAAGTGTTTTATTTAAATACATATTCACAACAAAAACTGCTAATAACGTTTAATGAATGCTTATAATTTAACGATTAACTTGTAAACCGACCTTCGTAAGGCCGCTGTTATGTCTATGTATCTTGTTAATTGTTTTATATGCAATACACACACACACATGTTCATTCTTTTTATACAAAGCGCCATCTAATGGTAAAAATTGCAAAACATATTTTGTAACAAATATACATTCTTGGGGCCTCCCAACAAGACTGATAAACGTCCAGTTGCATTTAAATTACTAACTTCATTAATTATTTTAGTTTTAACTTGTTTAAATTGATCTATTTTCAAATACAGATTCAATTTGATTTTAATACAACCGAATATAAAACAGACTATTAAAGGAATCAGAAATAACACTATAATTATTAAAATAAGACACTTTAACGGTTTAAAACAGTTTTATTTAAATTTGTACTACTCCCGTAAAGTACAGACACAGAATACTAAATTTTTAAACATATATGGGCCGTTGTTTTTTGGACAGCGATAGATAAACGTAAAAAATTGGATTCACTTCTTAAATTTTGTATTGTGCTAGTGGAACGTATGCGAATATTTAGAACGAAAGTAATTATAGAGCGAGACCCACGGCGGTTAGCAACTACGAGTACACAACTAATAGGATTTTGACAGGTATATTGTTCGGGGCGAATGAAAATTTAACTTTGCTGTTACCCGGCAAGTTCAATTTGCATACAGAATTACGATTTTCATGTGAAACTGAGGTTCTTAGTGAATTATTCGAGCCAGTGGAGCGGCGATTTCCTATTTATGGCTCTCTGCTATTGTGTCTTTATTTGTATCAAGGTAGTGAGCGTAAAGAAATACGTGTTAGATAACTTTGACACTGCGACCACTGATACTGTGAGTCTAAGCCTAACTGCAGGCAAAACTGCGTTCAAAGTAAGTCTTTTCTCGTATTTAAGTTTAACAATTAACCATATACTACGTTTCTTACAATTAGTAATTCCTATTACTCTAACGATGAAAATGATGACGACAGCCATATTCTTTTGCTTTGATCGATAAAAAAACGTGTATCATTTAAGAACTTGAAAATTTTGCACATTAAAGTACCTATATGAATTTAAAATTATTATTGTATACTGAATGAAAAAGCCTTTTTTTACGGATACTACAAACTACTTTAAATGTAAGTTCAATAATTAATGTTTTGTTACTTATACTTACAATTTTTATTTTCTACTAGTCTACTATCTATTCTATTTTTATAATAAGCCTAGATCCGTGTGCTAGATCGGCAAAGGCCTCCTCCAACTAAGACTTAATGTTCTCTCCAATTGTTCTTACCTCGCGCAGACCAATTACATCGCATTGTATCGGGACTAGTGCATAAATTAGTTCCGTAAGGTTTTCCTATCTTCTTCGTGTTAGTACCTTAAGGGCGCTATGTGCCCTCCAACTACCATCAGCAACCATGACAGTGAAGGCCTAAACAGTAACCTCAAAATTTATTTATTTATTTATTTATTTATTCATAAGGTACACAAACAAAACACAAACACTTATAAACAATAAGTCTTAAAAAAATATGTGATAAATTAAGTTTGTATCTCAATTACATGCGTACACGGAGAAACTAAATCGTACTGTTATCAAAAATAACGTATAGGTTATTATGTAATTATATAAAATAAGTAAAAATTATGTTATAAATGTTGTCTTACGGTAACAACATTTTTGTATAAATTTTTTTGTTTTTTTTATTTAGTCACTACTAATTCCTAAATTAAATGGTTTCGTTTATTTTTTCACAAAAAATTAGATGTGTTACTGTTGAAAACGTCCAACTGGCAAGAACTGCGTGAAGAGTACTCGGTATATAGTCTACACATGCGAACAATAGGATTGAAAAAAAGAGGTGTTGTTCTTAAACGTTTTTAGTTGAAAGGCCATCGGATGTCTAGGGTTGGGTCTTGTATTTAAGGAAAGGAGAGAAACAAGAGAAGGGCAGTCAATATGAGAGTGTATAATTTTATGAAGTGTAAGTAGGTCTTGGCGCTTGCGACGGTTTGACAGAGAAGTTAACTGAAATTTTTTGAGTCTCTGCTCATAGTTATTGACCGTGCGTCTAAGGCCAGATTTGAAGCATAGATACTTTAACGCCTTGCGTTGGACACGCTCAATATTATTATCATGTAATTGATAGTGCGGTGACCAAATTACTGCACCATACTCAAGAACTGTTCTGACCAGCGATTTGTAGATATAGATGAAACTATTACTGAACTTAAAATTCTTACTTGAGCGTATTACAAAACCTAGCATTCTGAGTGCTTTATTAATTATATAGCCAAAATGTTCACGAAAAGACAGCTTATCATCAAATATAATACCTAGATCTTTTACAGAGCTTTTGAGAGGTAATTGTATATCGTTTATTTTGTAATTGTAGGTGGCTTTTACTTTTTTATTACTGAAACTTATCGATACACATTTATCAACATTTAAGTACATCAGATTATCATCACACCATTTGATAATACGATTAATGTCATTCTGAAGAGCAGAAAAATCAGAAGTACTGTCAATGGTACGGAAGATTTTGAGGTCGTCGGCGTATAATAGACAAGGACTAGTGATACTTGTAGCAAGATCGTTTATAAATATAGCAAAGAGCAATGGGCCGAGATGGGAGCCTTGCGGAACTCCTGATTTTACACTAATCGGTGACGATTTATAGCCATGCAAGATCACAAGTTGACTTCGCCTCTCGAGGTAAGATTTTATCCACCTGAGCAGATTACCGTGCACCCCAAGTGAAGATAGCTTTTGACACAGAAGATTATGGTCAACCTTGTCGAATGCTTTTTTTAAAGTCAGTATATATTGCGTCTACCTGACCCTGACGCGCGAAAGCTGAGCAAATATAGTTTTTGTATAGCAACAGGTTAGAAATCGTTGATCTGCCTTTTAGAAAACCGTGTTGGTTTTCAGAAAGATAGGGCTTAAAGTGAGCATAAAAGTATTCGTAAACTACTTTTTCGAATAATTTAGCTAGAGTTGATAACATGCTTATTGGCCGATAATTTTCACATTTGGTAGCATCACCACTTTTGAGAATTGGCACTATGTAAGCTGATTTCCACAACGTTGGAAAGATACCATTGCTCAAAGAAGCATTAAAAATAAAAGAAATTGGTGCAGAGAGTTCGTCTGCGCATTCTTTCAGGAACCGTGGTGGGATGCCATCGGGACCGGCAGCCTTATTGGGGTCGAGTTTTTTTTAATCCTGATAAAACATTACTTTTATCTAATTTAATGTGTGACAGGCAACCCACAATATTGATATTCGAGGGAACGGAATAGTATGTTAAGTTAGTAATAGACGGTTCCTGATACACAGATGAAAAGTACTCAGACAGGAGATTACAAATATCTTGACCAGAGAAGGCGCATTTCTTACCAAGATTCATTGTGTTCGGAACTCCTTTGGAGTCTTTTTTTGCTGTTAACATATCTCCAGAAGAATTTCATGTCTTCCTTCAGAGACAGTTCTGTATCGCGTATATAAGAATTATAACAATCCTTAAGTAGGTTTTTGCAACGAACTCGTAGAAGAGAGAACTCATCGTAATCTCGAGGATTTTTAAATTTTTTATAACGCTTGTGTAATCGAGCTTTATTTTTGATCAATTTTTTTAATTCTTTTATTGTACCAATGGGGAAAAGCAGATTGTTTAGTATATGTTAAGGGGGTAAATTGGACATTAATATCATGCAAAATTGAGTAAAATTTTTTGACTAACAGATCAATGTTTTCGAAATTTCCTAATACAGTGAACCAATCAATCGCAGCCAAGCTAGATTTAATACAAGAATAATTACTTTTTAGGAAATTAAAGTGAGCTGTTGTATTGCGCATGAGATTAGAACGTGCATAACTTTTTAATTTGAGTTGTATTAAAAGTGGAGGATGATGTAAATCAATGCGCGATAGTGGTTCTGCAGCAACAACTTCAATGGCGTCAAAAGAAGAAAAGACAAGATCAAGAAGTCGATTATTAATATTTGCTATATGGTTAAACTGATACAAATTGCACAGATAAACCGATTCAGAGAGAAGACGTGCTTTGGTGTCAGAGGGGTCAATAGGTTGATAGGAATTAGGATTAACCTCAAGCCAACTGAGATTGTGCGTGTTGAAATCACCTAATATTAGGACATGCCTATTGTTCGCTTTGTGAAGTACAATATCTTGTAAATGGCAATAGTAACTATTCAAATCCTCTTTAGTCAGGTCTGGAGGCAAGTAGCAAACACATATCAGTAGGCCATTCAGAGAAGAATTGTTCAGATTTACAGATATCCATAAATCTTCATACACGCTCTCGTAATGTTCTAGGCGAATTGCATGGATATTATTTTTTACAGCTATGAGCACTCCACCGCCATCTCGTTTACTTGAACAAGATGAGTAGCGATCCTTTCGGTATACTAAATATCTATTATCAAACACCTCGCTATTAAAAACCCCCTGAGTGAGGTTTGTTTCAGTAAGACAAATTAAGTCATAACTTGAATTTAACACATTTAAAAATAAATCAGTAGTTTTAGACCTAATTCTATTTACATTTTGGTAGTAAACTTCCATTATTAATTGCTAAATTTAATATTACGGTTCTTAAGTAGTAAAATTACAATATAAGAAAAAAGAAAAGAAAATCAGCATTAAACTATTTTAGATACAAATTCTAAGTCCCTAATATAAAGCGCAGCCCCCCCATCTTCTTTTCTGACATACACACGTTCGTCCTTGACCCAACAATATTTATATTTCTTCTCTTTGCAAGCTTTTCTTGCAGCTGCGAAAATGGCTTTACAAGTGGAGGAGTGGTGTTCAGCAATAAATAAACGATTTGCAGGCCCTGGGATATGGAGGTGGACAGAGGTAACAGGGTTCTTCTTGTTATAATTTTTTAAATGCTGATATTATTGAATCGCGGTGTCGAGTTGAGGGTAGACTGACAATAATATTGCGTGGGCGTTCTGAGTTAGGGTTGAGCGATGCTACTCTCTTGATTGAAGAGATATCGCCTTCTGACATGGGGTGGCCAATTAAGTCGCACAATGATTTAAATATAAAAATCAAGTTCTCATTCCGCTTCTGCGGTATGCACTGTATTTCCAAATTACGGCTTCGAGACGCCTTGTCAAGAGCATCCATCTGCCGACGCATATTTTTAAAAAGGGACTCGGACTCCAGTTTATCTTTTTCTAAAGCCACAATCCTTTCCTCAGCAGTCTCAAGCGCCTTCCGCAAGTCCTTCTGTTCACCAACCAGGTACTCCGTTGTCCGGTTTAGGTCGTCTTTTAGTGCCTGGGTAACTGAGGCACACTCATCCTTCATTCTAGACGTGATGTCGCTCATCAAAGACGACTTAATAGTGTGCAATCTGGTTTTAATCTCGTTAATTAGACTATATTTAATACCTTCGAGTTTCTGATCTGTTAGTGCGCTAAACTTATCAAATGAAATCACATCTTGTTGGTTGCACGAAATATCAACAACATGCGAGTCCTCAATGGACACGGTGGAGACGTCTAACCGAGCAGGAGGCAAAGGTGGCGATCCAGATGGAGTATTAGACTCGGTTTGGTCAGCCGACAATTGTATGCGGGTAACTTGCGAGCGAACTGGCGTATTATCGCCCTTTAAATATTTATATTTGATATCACAAATCGGACAGATCCACTGCCGCGCACCACTCGCAAGGAATTTCTTATATTTTTTGGGCGTTATGTTTACACAGCCATGAGAAATATTATTTTATACTATTCATATAAAAAAATGCTAGAGCTACCGTGTCAGTGCAGTTGTTTTTTTTTTCACTAAAGATATTTTTAATTACCATGTAATATTCTAGTCTATTTAAACAGTCGTACGTTGTAGAGGCACGTGGCTTTGTTAGTGTTCTTTTAAATCATATGCTTTTTGATAAATAGAGTTTGTCGCAAGTCTACAGTTTTCGTTGTATCGATGTATCGCTTGCACCGTTCAGTAAACTACATTGGATTCGCTCTCGCAAGTGTATGCGCCATGCGGTTATAATTTGCTACCTCTCAGACGATTTCGAGATTGTTCGTGAAAATATGTGTTTAGAAAAGCACTTACGTTTCTTGGCTAGCAAAACTAAAACTAGCGTATATGTGTCGAAGAATATAAAATCCTGTTTCCACAAACCGGTGCAAAGAGTAGCTCTGACGTGACTGAAGAAAGTCTAATTAATTTAAATAAAACACTTTAACGGTTTAAAACGCGATATATAGTTAAACTTATTTAAAAATGATTTTTTTCATTCGGCCCGACGTTTCGGATGCTTTGCAGCAGCCGTGGTCACGGGGAGACTACGAGTAAAACGCGAACTATATTACTTTACTTATTAACAATTTATTTTGACTACGGCCCGAAGTTTCGGATGCTTCGCAGCCGTGGTCACGGGGGACTTATGATTTAACAACATATTACGTAAAAATAAATTATGTTTTAAACCGTTAAAGTGTTTTATGTGCACTACTCGCGTAAACTACAGGCAATACTACAAGTCATTCATTAAATTTAAACACACAAGTGGGATTTGAACCTGAGACTTCCCGCGCTTCTCCAATGAAGCACAGAAGCTGTCGAATTAATTAAATTAAAAAAAATACCTATAAGTAACTCCTTGCTTTACATAGTTCAACAAATATTGTATGGTTGCATTAGTATAAGGTGAATTATTATTTTCTTTTATATTTAATTTTAACTTAGTAAGAATATTGTACATATATTTTGATTGTGTAATCGTTGAGATTGAGTCTTCGCTAAGTTTTTGTATAAAATAAGTAGTAAAAAAGGTACATAAGCAAGAAAATCTCTACTCCATTATAATGTATCAATTGATCCACTGCAATTTAATTTTAATCGCATTGTTCCGCCTTTCCACACTTTCCTCACGAGAAAGGACCAGTACAACGTGCTCCATTCAGACACAATTACGTCTACGCCACGGCACCTAATAAACGACGGAAGTATGTAAAACTGGGGGTCTTCGTTAAATGGTTTAGTTGGCGGAAGGCGCCTGCAGTCCGAACAATAGCCCACACATAGTAGAGACTTCGTTCTTATCTTATTACCTATTAACAATACAATTTTAAGTTTAAAATCAAAAATACTCGATCGTATTTGAAAACTTTAATAGTTTTCTATAAAGAGCAACATAATCGCGAAGAACACCCAAGAATCTCAGCCCGGGTTCGTTCAACGTGTCATATAAACGAATATATTTTTGTGACTTTAGTAACCCAAGGAACAATTCATATCACTGCTAGTACAGTTCTCTCCAAACTTTTTGGCCGGGCTGAAGTTAGCGCGAATGGGTGCGCCGAACGCAAAAAGCAGGTTAGTCGCGAAGTGCGGGTCGACTCGACTTTTTTCCTAAACTCGATACTACCATTCGCAAGATGGTGGCCGCGCTAACTTCAGCGCGGCCAAAAACTTTGGAGAGAACTGTACTTTTCTCTACTACTAACTCATATAATTATACTACACTTTCGTACTAAGAAATTCTAGAATTGGTTATTCTAGAGTCCACTTGTTTGCGACGCATCCTTTGTATTATGCAACTCGGTCATCAATTCATGTCGGCTTACAATGCAGACACTATTATTATAGGTAAATCTAATGGCATTTAGCATCATATGCTGTTGCGTCGTTATTGAGTGACATTTGTGACTGTTGGTCAATTGGCCACAATGGAATAATGTAATAAGTGAGGCTAACGTTATTGGGCGATGGCTTATTTTGATAGTAGGTGAATTGAAACGTTGGAATATTTTATCTGTGTGTGTTAACGTTGACTATAATGTCAATATATTTATTTTTAACATATATTTAATGGGGAGGACAAGCACGGGGTTTACTTAATGGAAGATGCCCCCAAGACCCCAGCCATATAATTTAGCAAAATTAAAGCAATTAATGATTCAACAATCATTTTACAGTAGGTATTGGTGTGATTATTCTCAACTCATCTTTAAGCACAGATGTTTATAATCTGTGGTTCTTAGGCAATAAAAAAATGATCAGCTTGGACAGCTACGACATATAGAATGAAACTTCATCCATGCATGAATTTCCAAATGCAATTTAAGCTTCAATGACTCGGTTGGTAAAGCCTTCACATATAGAAACTATCCATAAGACCCATAACATATTTCGCGTAAAAAATATCATATAGTGTCCAATGTCCACACTTATCAGGTCCATATACCTACCATGTCCATTTATTTTCAGCGCAAAGTGACCGCTGTATTTATTTGACGTGGCGGGCTAATGTAAAATTCAGATCTGTTTACCTCGTGTATTTATGAATTCGTTATTATTTACTTAACTCCGCGACAATTATTTACGATCCAATATTGTAATTGTTGTATTAAAATTCATGATGGCAAATGTGCTACTCAAAACAATGTAATATTTATATTCACCTATTTAATTTATAGTTAAAACTCTCTTTAGAGCGATATTACCAGCCTTTTGATATATTTAGTAAAAATTAACTAACAATAGTATGATTTTTAATATGTACATTTCAAAAATTCTGTACATTCGACACGATTGACGTGGTGACCCACAAAGGTCCGAATTCTCAAATCGAAGATGGAATTTATCTTCGATTTAAAATGATAATTGTAGACAGAGCGGTTGCGGTGCCTTATACTCGGAAACAAACAGATGACTAACGGCCACTTGCTAATGGGAAACCAACGAAGGTGTAATGAACTTTTGTATCAAAATTAGTAACGCGTGTATCGGCTGCTTTAATATTGAGCTATGGAATAGATTTAACAATACGTAATAACCCCTTTATAAGAATTAGATGTAGCTCCAATACGCCGAAGACTTTTTAGTAAAATATGCAGACTGAGTGGCTAAATGAAATACACTGTATTCACGAAAATGACGAAAACTAAATGGACTTGGGTTTGAATCCCGGGGAAACAATAAATTGTTTAGACAGAGCGGTGCACAGAAATCTGATTAACTAAGATCGAAATGTACCCCATGCCCCAAGGAAATTTAAATTATACTTTACCAATTTCAATAAAACACCTTAAACGGTTTAAAACTTGAAATATATTAGTCAAATCATTTACAATTTATTAACTAATATATTTGCCATATTAAACCTAGTTAAAAGTGTGTAGATTTACTACTGTACTACTACTCTCACGTAAACTATAGACAATACTTAATACTTTGCCTAGTTACATTCGGTCTTTGTCTTCTAAAACCTGTTCTCTGACATTACATCACTTTTCGTATTTTAGATTGACATTATATGTAGCCTTGGGGCGTTCTGAGATTAAGCTATTTAATAGAAGTTAAAAACTCAAGCTACTAATGTGCTGCTCGTGGGCGAGGTTAACCAAACTTAATGAACTATATTGTCTTAATGCTATATGTGGCAACACCCGTCTTTTCCATGTCTGGTCATTGGACACATGCAAATCGGTGTGTGGGTTTTCGCTAACTGGTACATGATACAGAGATGTTAAAATCGATATATCTCTTTGTGTAGTTAAATTTTATTTCTCGTCTGTATAACTTATCTACTCTGTGGAAGCGGAAAGTTACAATTATCTTATGTGTTAGACATATATCTATGACTGTCGAAACATATCATCAGTTTTTGTGTCCGTCCTGTGTCCCATGCTTACCCCCGAATCCGAATCTAAAACCTCTAGGCGGTGTAGGATAGACATATTTATGTGTCTGTTTAACTGATTGAATGTTATCCAAAGCAGATACACTATCAACTTTTGTATACGTCTTGATCGAAAAACACTATCAGTGCCTAATCTTTACCCAGTAATCGAATCCAAAACTTCTCGCGTTTAACTCAATGCAAGAGTCTAATTATCTTTTAATAGTGATAAATTTGAAATGATTCTTTTTCTGTAATTGCAGTTAACTACAGTGCTGTATGTATTTACGTGATTTTGTCTATATGTTTGTTGGTGCGTCGCAAAATACCAAACTAACGTCTAATTGTCAAAAGATATTGTCACGAAGCCTATAATAGATAAGTTTATTTTCGTGAGTTTGTACGTTGGCTTCCAACAAATACATTAAAATGAATACAATTTTCAACTATACCCACATCGTATGTAAAATTTCCTGATAAAAGTAGATTAGTTTTGTTCTTAGAATATTAGTTATTTATCATTTCTCAATACTATACCGACTAGTAGAGTGTTGGCGCCAGGTTCTATTTGTTGCAATAAGTGTGATTGATGTTTTGATTTTAATATGTTTGAATACTAGTGGAATAAGTAGTTGGAAATCATGACTTAGCTTATAAATGCCTTTATAAGAATAAGTCAGCTTATATATTTTCCGGTATAAACCGTTGAAGAGTTTTCTTTAAAGTTAGACTTTAGACTTAATATTACAATTTAGGCTGTCAATAGTTAGTAAAAGTTTTTATAAGACGTCGTTTTATTGATTCAAACTTTAAGGTTGTAATAAATAGCGTGTTATCCTCTCTTTGGTTTTCAGACGATTACGCCGCTGTAAAAATAACAAAGAGAAACATGAAGTGGGGCACATTTTTCCTAACAAGGAGACGGACCTTGATGCCCACTCGGCCATATTGGTGGTTTTAATATGGGTAATTGCAACTTGATTGAGAATTCTCCGTCGCCCGACCCACCCACGCTTAATTGATTAATACATGTGATATACATTTTGTCCACCTCTTTAGTAAATTGAGTCTACTTACAAGAATTGCGCGTTCTTTTGTCTTATAGGCGAGCTGAGATCAGCTATTTCCTATCATTCTTGATTTGAAATTTTATTCAAATTCAAAAC